TGGGTGCTCCATTTTTACAAGTCAGCTCAGGCTTGAGGCAGTTTTGGCCACAGGTTGTGCTCTGTGGGGTGCTGGAGGGTGCCTCGGTCCCCAGCCATAGCCAGTGCCTTCCCCCCGGCTCGGCTGGCTCTTTTTTCAGCCCATGCCCATATTTTCAGACCTTTGCTATTATACCACCCTTAAACCACACAGCATAAGCAGAGGTGCTCAGCACGGGCTCTGGCATGGGCTCAGCATGGGTGTTTGCGCTGGCAGTGGGGCAGTACCCTCTAACCAATGGTGCCCTTCACTGGCAGGGAGACCCCGGGGACCCCGGTGAGGACGGTGCAAAGGGTGCCCGGGGAGACACCGGCTCCACTGGCCTGCCTGGAGAGAGGGTAGGTGCCTGGTCTCTGGTGCGGGAGGCGGCAGGAGAGCAGGACGGGCAATGTTCTGTGGGAGAGCCAGGAGTCCTGGTGTGCAGGGGGCAGTCGGCGAGCACCCAGGACCCCCCGTTTTCCTCCCATACCCCACTGCTGAGTGTGTCTCTCTCTTGCAGGGCGCGGAGGGCCCCCGTGGCCCTGCTGGTGCACGGGTGAGTGCCCCCTTCCCCACGAGGGGCTGAGCGGGGGGGTCTGCGCCCTGCTCTGCTCCCGTTCAGTGGCGATAATGCTCACTCCTCTTCCCACCCCGCAGGGTGACCCTGGGGACCGAGGCCTGCCAGGAGAGAAGGTGAGGGGGCTGGGAGCTGGGGGCTGCCCCACAGCACCCCTGTCCTGCCCCATGGCTTCAGCCCTCCTGCCCTGCTCTCTTACAGGGGGACCGTGGCCCACCGGGGCGGGATGGCCGCAATGGGCTGGAAGGCAAACCTGGGCCCCCAGGCCCCGCTGGGCTGCGGGTGAGTGTGGTCCAGGGTGGGGGGCACAGCTGCCCCCGGGCACTGTGGGTGGGCGCTGCAGGATGGAGGCGTGATGGGGCAGGAGGAGTTGCCCCCCTGGACACCCTCTGCTCTGGGCTGAGGATGCTCGTGGGGGCCCCATGGCATGGGGAGGATGTCCCTGCCCTCACCTCCTCTTTGTCTGCAGGGGGACCCAGGGAAGCAGGGGGACCCCGGCCGGGACGTAAGTATCTCTGGGGAGGGCGCATTTAGGTTGTGCTCCCACTGGGGCGATCACACTTGCAAGGGACCAATATCCTGTCCTGTGCTCCTTGGTCTGGGGCAGTGCAGCGGGGCCATCCTCCATCACTGACACGCTCC